GGCCACGGTGACCCGATCAACGGTACCGCGCTGACGTCACCTTGGGCCTTTCCCCGTAGGGGTGAGAAGTCGCTCATCACCCCCGCTCCGAATCCTTCCCGCTACCTTTCCACAAATTCCATCCACCAATTGAATATTCGCATTTTTGTCACCCCGTTTTCCACTTCCATTCCCCTGTCAGGGATAGTTAAGAATAGTCAATAGTAAAGGGAACACAATTGCTAAGAATAATAGAAGAAGAGTTATTATAATTTACATAGTCTCTTATATTTGTAAGAGTGGTCCTTCGAGACATACATATTGAACTCTAGTCGGCACATCACGTGCAATCTCTACAAAGCTCGATAGCTTTGAGACACTTAAGAATTGTCAGAAAAATCCTCCGACTCGGAATAGGGTGGACGTAAAATAAACTGAACGCTTCTACTTTTCCACAATAATATATTGTACTCAAAATCTGTATTTACGTTATTCGGGCGTCGTTGGCAAAAGTGTACATTGAATGTCTCGGAAAGAGTAAGGAGTCCTGCCGATCCCCGTCCACCCCTATGCGAACTGGCCCAGGGAAAAACCCAAAGAGGCGAGTCACCGTCTTCGGGACGGATTTTCTCACAGAATTTTATTTCAAATGCATTTCGAAAGATGTTTTGTCGATGGGAACCAATTTAAACAATTTTTTTGTACTAATTATATTGAAAGTGGTATTAAGGGTCATACATATGTGTATCTATTGTTCATCCAGGTAAAAAGAAATATTGCAAAATGTAATACATGTTTAAACTGGCAATTTAAAAATTACTTCATTCGTACCTGTGAATAAAACTGATGTCAAGTCACACTCGACGAAGGAGTCCAAAGGGTTAACACGTTCACTACCACGGTTCCGTTGAAGCATCGTCCTTCGAATTATTTTGACTTACATTCTTAACACTTTACCTGCGGGAGTCACGTATGCGTGATTTCTACTGTCGACGTTCTTCAACGCGTGTTTACGATATCATCGGTGTCGTGTTCAACTATCGCGAATGCATGAAGAAACAAAAAATTACAAAAATAATAGAAAAAGGGAAAAATCCACTCTGTAGCGTGAGGTTTATTTAAATCCCACTGGGTGGTTGTGAGGTCGTATTATAGCTAAACGGAAGCGATGATGCCTCGAAAACGGTTGGCGAGAGTGCGCGAATTTGACGCGAGTCAAGTTCGGCTTGGCCAGGTCTCCCAAAGGAGGGGGAGAAGGGTAGGTGGAATAGGTTAGAGTGAGAGCGAGAGAGGAAGAGAAACTATCGTCTGTGACCCGCGAAGGAGACGTCTGTTGTCTCGGGGAAGGTGTCTGGGAGAGTTGGAGCCAACCTAGAGGTGTCGCTATGACCCGCGAAGGAGCGTCTGCCTCTAGGAGGTGGATAGGTGAAGATTGCAAGGGGAGAGACAGGACAGGAAACCTGGTCCTGGAGTTTTCGGTTGCTCCGTACTGACTGTCGCAAAACAAGGAGTGTCGTCTATAAGTCCGCGAAGGAGACGTCTGCTCGGTGTATGCTTGAGTTGTCCTAGACGGCTTCCCGTAAGAACTGATTTTCTATGGCAAAAGGCCGTCTTTTATATGTTTTAAGAAGGCGAGACCCGACCAATCAGGGTGGGTCAAGCCTTTTCGCAGGGTTGGGGGCGCACGAGCCGCTGTCTGCTACCTGAGGCCACGGGGGGTCTAGCGAGTACGCAGCTCGTACTCGGTATGGTAGCGAAAGAAAAGCGGTTACTCTACAACTCTTTTTTCTCTAAATACCGCTTCACCGGAATATGCTTCGAGAAGTATCACATATTAAATAAGTATTGAAACTTTATTTAATAAAACTTAATAAAACTATTTAATCGTGATAAAACAGTTACAATTATTACATAATTCCGTGCATATCGATAGTTTCAATGTTGTTGTTGCGTCGTGGACCTTGATCAAACCTTATGATCAGGAGTTCTGGCGCGGGTTGATGATTGTTCTTCGCTGGTTCAAGGTGTATTAAAACTTCGTTAGCTGTTGTAGATGTTTTGATGAATTCTTGTTTTGATTAGATGTTTAGCTGAATTGGATTGTTCGCCTCGTGACTATGTGTCTCGTGCACTCGTCTTACAGTGATTGCCGGTTTTCAGGTGTGTAGGTGTATGTATAGACATTAGGTCGGTTCTGATTGGTGGTTGTGTTATGGAGGTGGAAAACGTGGTGTGTTCTGCTATTGGTCGACGAAAGCTGTGACCTTTTGGAGGACCGAATTTGTTGTAAACAGGTAACGAATTTTTTATGGTCCCGAGTGTTTTGGGACCTATTGTCTGAGTGTCGCGCTGGTGCGTCCAAATGTCTCGGTCTGGCGACCAAATATGACTGAATCGTTTATTGTCATAATCCGCCGAACCGAGACTTCGTTGCGTTAGGTCTGTTCTGATTGGTTGTTGCGTTATGGAGGTGGAAAACGTGGTGTGTTCTACTATTGGTCGACGAAAGCTGTGACGTTTTGGGGGGTCGAATTTGTTGTAAACAAATACAATACAATTTAAGCGTTGCAAGAAGCGGTCGCGGTTAACGTAAGCTCGCGCCGAAAATGCCCGCAGGTGATGTGTTAATATCTATATTTTTTTCAGTTTTACGTAATACGATAGACGCCTCCTGCATTTATGCACACCTGATGTTTATTAAATACACAAACTGTGCATTTTTTATTTCTACACAAAAATAGAAAGCATATTTTTCGTATTGTGGCTGTAATAATTTGATCACCCACTGTATGTGACGCTAGTAGCGAACGTGTTAAAATAGAACGAATTAAGGAAAGAAATGAAAGATAAATGAATTTAGAAATATTGTAAGAGGGATAGGATTTTTCGAGCGAGTGCTTAAACCGGAACGATAGATTTTTGAATGAAAGATTACTTCCTAGAGCGATAGAAGTGTGAAAGAAGAGTGTTTTTTACGGTTATGGTGGAAAAACCTGTTTCCAGGTGTTTGCATAGAGTAGGAAGCTTGAGAAGTAACTGGCGATCGATTATCTTTGTTTTATAAGGGAATTTCTATCACCAGTCGAGATTGCCTGAGTTGAAGAACAGGTAGATTTGGGTCAGCTGTCGTGGACAATATCGTTTGCTGTATTCTCGACCTGATGAGAGTCGATAGAGACACTGTTGCTTCGTGGAAACTTGGTTAGGGTGGTTTCGAACTGCTTAGAGTTGGGCAAAGGCGCTTTTGATCCTTAGTAGATTAGCGATCATCAGCTGATTGGATTAGAGACCTACTTTCGGAGATTTGAGCTCGGCGAGCTCTCTATTATTATTGAAACTAACAAATAAGTTGTGAATTCAAGTATTGTTGAAGTATGCCGAGGTGGCTGGAGACCATTAGTTGATTAAAATAAGAGGAAAATGTAGATTAAAGGTTCCTTTGTCTAGTTGGTGAGTTTTGGCCAACCAGAGACTCTACCCTTTGATGGAAATCAGCTTGGAAGTACGTTCAGTTGATCACTCTTCGTTAACAGAATACATCAGAACAATGATGAGGATTAAATTCTTAATAAAACTATTGATAGTTTTATTGTAAAGATCTTTACCAGTCCAAGATGCTATTCGTTAAAGAAACCAAACTTAAATAGCCTTGCGTGACTTCTAATTACCCAAAACTGCTTCTAATCCTGTAGCTAATCAGTGATCACCAGGTGACAGCATTAAGAGGAAGATTCGAGTTAAATTTTTCGTAAAGTGTTGCTGTTCTCCAATGGAAACCAAGTTGAACCGTTTCAGAATTATCTGAAACTCGATATTTAATTAGCACTCATGAGCTAATTGAATTTGCAGAAAGATTTATTTGATAAATTTGACTATTTCGATCTCCGCTTTAAAAGTTCAGATTTCGAAATTGAAATGTCCAACGGAACGCCAAATCCTCCAGTGGATTAATGTCTACACGGAGGATAACGTTGCTGCACAGTTTGCCATTTGATTCCAGCAAATTTTCCATTGTCCGGACATCCAGATCATAGAAAATCTTGCTTTTGTTCAATCCCGGGGTGTTCTTTGGCTACCAACCTAGCAAATCCCCGCGAAACCGTATTTTGTGACCGTCCAGGATTCAGTTGGTTCCAAGAGGCGAAATTTAAAAGGGGACAGTAGCCAAGCGGGCTTCCTGGTGAAACAAGGTCACAATGATCCTAGGGTAGAACGACGTAGAATAAATGATCACGTGAAATTGGAATTGGATTCTGCGGAAGTGGAGGAACTTCTACGAGAATCAGCTCATTCATTCTGATCGATTTCATTGCAAATTTTTGGGGATACACTTCAAGATGTAACACAGGGTATATGAAAAATAGTGATCAGCTTCATTTTATAGTGGTTGGGGAGTTTTTCGATACACAGGATATCTCGAAAGTCGCAGTCAAATCCTTTTTATTGCTGCTTCTATGCTCCCTGGGGGGTTATTTTAAGTGCTTCGTGTTTTCCCTCGTAGCTGGATGACTTATTCCATCGAAATATTGTTCTTGGACAAATGTAATTTTATTTGAGGTACACAATCGCAGAGCATATGTGCAGGTACACAATATAAGTATGTTTACAAGAATTTACTGGTCCATGTCGTTACCAAAAAAATGATATCAATGAAATATCCTCATATAATCTTGAAGTACTATAATAACTCAATATGATTATACAGAATGTTTGAGAACAATTAAAGCAACATTTTTTGTCCAATAAACATGTGTCCTATTTTGCTCCGTTTCTCATTAACGAGGCATAGAAGACAAGAAACTTTGGCCCCTGAAATCGAGCAACCCGACAAGTACTCGCATAGAAGATTCCTACGTTATCTATCAGTTATGAAACGTGAATATTGTTATTTCTCGAAAAATAGAGTGCTCAATAGTTAGAATAAATTTCGTAGAATATTCCAAGCTGGAATTTCAATACTTTTGTACAGGGTGTCTCGATAATGATGATCCACGAAATTCACCGATCCTATTCTCGTTTAGGTTTCCACACGTACACGCTGAACGAGACTACGCATACCGAGAGGGAGGAGGACGAGATCCTGACGGTGAGATATGAGGATGGCAGGTGGTCGAAGCCCTACTATGATTGTGGTGGAGGGAATATCTGGATGCTGACCTACACCGTTCCCTTCTTCGGCTACGTGAATGACACCTACTTCTTCAAGTAAGTGTTCCACCCTCCGAATTAGCCTCTAGAACTTCGCCTAACCATGGAAATGCTCGTTGGTAGTTTGTCACGTGGGCTAACCTCCACGTCGGCCATTTTCGAAGATGCTCGACGATTGACGAAATTGCCACGATTCATTTGGAGCGTCTGAGTAGGGGATTTCGTTCATGGTACCTTCAAATGGAGACCATGCTCTTTTTGTTATAGTATAGTGTATTGATCAATTGAAGGATTTCTATGGGGGAACTTTTTCTTTTTCCTAATTTTCCAAGACGTTTTTTCGTCGTACTTTTGCCTATAGTTTGGCCATATTGTCGTCGTAAATTCTAGATTCGAATAAACGGCGCACGATTCCTCTATTGTCTACGGTGTAATTTATAGGTTAGGTTAGGCGTGAAAATAATAGACCATTATTTTCGCCGTTTTATCATCCAATCAATGAAGTCCCACGTGGCACCTAGGGCAAAACGTAGAATTTAGCCAAGTTCTAATCGTCGAATTATTTCTAATTTATCGACTGCCCACACGTCCACCGGAAAATTAATTTCGATTGTTCTATCGACGCGCATATTTCGACGGTAAAGTTTAACGAATACGAGAAAAACGAAATGAGAAAAAACGGTACAACGAGGATCTGTCAATAATTGAATACGAAGGATTTTTTTTGTTTTGAATTAACCAAATCCCAGCTATCATACCCCGATTATTCCCTGCTCTTTGAACAGTGCTTTTCACTTTGTCCATCGATGAATAATAACGGTGATGCAAATAAATTCGATACTTGGGATTTTGTGCCGGGGATTATCAGTCAGTAACGTGATATTCAGACCGTTTTAACAAACATTTTATTAAAACTCTTGTTAATGGACCGTACGGTATAAAACGAGAATATTGTGCAAGTATTGAAGGTGTTACGTACGCAGACTAGTCGACACGGCGGCGCCGAGATTTCCGCCTTACGCGCACCTCCTAGAAAAGGCCCTCGAGATAGGGTAAACGAACGCATTCCGTTCCCACGAAAATCTAGGGCCTCCATCACCAAAAACCACGATTTTTGGTGTATGTAAGGGCACGACGTTTCATGTTCGGGGGCTCAGTCTTCTACCAGAACGTTATTCCGCCAGTCGGAACGCGAGCAAGATCGGGTTGTAGTCCCTTTCTAAGACACCCCCGCGGCTCGGCGCGTAAACTGAGAAGGAATATCCTCGCCCAGTCGAGAATTGACCAATTAATTATTTAAGTGTCATTGTAACCGATCATTGGATCGAAGCAACTTGTAACTTCGCATTTATACTAGAATATATAGCTTTATTAAGTTGGACTCGCTCATTTCAACCAAGCCTTTCCTGAGTAACATTAGTAACGAATCAGCTAAACTCACAAGGATATATCTTTACCGCTCGAGGTATATCCGACATTACGATACGCACTGTCCTCACAACCTTCCAACCGTTCCATCCTTCGGAGAACGACGTATTAACCACATACGTTGAAGGTTCCAATCCTATCGGACTTGTTGGAGTACGACGTATCAACCACATACGTTGAATGTTCCGACTCCAACCGTTCCATCCTTCGGAGAACGACGTATTAACCACATACGTTGAAGGTTCCAATCCTATCAGACTTGTTGGAGTACGATGTGTCAACCACATACGTTGAATGTTCCGACCGGTCCATCACAAACCAATATTACGCTCCGTGTGAGGACACAACAAAGCGTAACCCGTAACAAAGGTAATAGTTCGTGAAATCTACTGAATTCTATTAAAATCTGTCAATAATAAAACAGACAAATGTATCGAGATATTTAAAAATAAATGTACCAACCGCAAGACAGTCATAAATCTATCCTCTTAGTCGCAGAAGAAAGTGTGACGGGTGCAGGCCCGCTCAAAGGGAAGAATTCGATATCAGTGTCAGACAGCTATCAAGCAGATCGGTTTGCTCGAGTTCTCAACGCGAGGCTTGATTATGATTATGGCCGGCCAAAGTCGCGGAAAAATACAGTCCGTTGGAACCGGAGACTCAGCGTTTCCGTGGCCAACGCGTGGAATTTCTGTCGACGTCACGGTTTTATTGATGAACGATGCGTTCGTTTTATCGCGCATCATCCCCCGTTTCTCCCCCCTCTTCTCACGGTATATATGTTTTATCTATCTGCTCCGGACCCCTTTCCATCAATCAATAGAAACACACTGAAGGAATATGCGCATAGAAAAAGATGGTATTCATTTCCATTCACTGCTTGAGATTAAATTGCTCCCCTGATCGATGGAAATTTGAATTCGCCCGCTACTAGTGACGGCTTTGAGTCATCTGCGAGTTATTTGTTCACCAAGTCTGTTGTTGTTTTTTTTAGGGAAGTGGTGATTCTTGGAATTGTTTTTTATCATCGATGCATTTGGTTGATATTGATTTGTTTCAAAACGAATTTTTACATTTGGACATTTCTTTTTTTATCTCTCTGGGCGATGATTTTGAATTAATCTTTAAATTTGGATTTGTTCGAACTGGTAAAGAAATAACTTGCGAATTGCTGCTATTCAACGCGTGTGAGAATGTTTATAGTTAAATATTTGAAAATTTGAACGTACGAGATTTTTGGAAATTTGAAAATTGTTCAATTGTTTCGTGGTAGCCATTGCTAGATTACCTGTTATACCTTAGAACGAATTCTTTATACCGTCTTTGGGTTGTAATAAACGGGCAATATTTTCATATTTCACTGGTCTGCCTGCTGCTATTCGACATCTTTACCAACTTTCATCCCTTCTGAATATAAATAATCCTGCACTCGTGTCACGATCTGTTCAAATTTTCTAAACACGACGCGACGGTCGAAGGTTTTGCACTGATTGCACGCATTTATCTTCGACATTTCCTGGCCAATCTTTTTTTCGTGGGAATCGAAGCACGAATATTAACGTGACTTTCGAAAAATACGACAGCAGTAATATTGTATCATTTACTAAAAATATTATCTCACTTACAAACTCCAAGCTGTAATTTTTTCTTACAGTATGATATTCGTTATAGTTTGCAAATGTGTAAAATTTATTAAACCAATTAAATAAATAATA